GAGGATTTCCACTCTTTGCAAATCTCCACGTTCAAGTGAAAGATTGAGGCACTACATGACATTGGTGAAGAAAAAAGCATTTTCTTCATAATTATAACTATATGTAAACATTGTATAATGATATGGAATAAAATGCACATTTTAGGACATTTTCTAAAAAAAAAAAAAAAGCTGAGGTGGGAAGTCGCACAGGCATTGTTCAGTCTTTAGTGCTAACTATGGAAAGTGAAGCTGAGACTGAGTAAATGTGGGGGAGGTTATTGTTTTTATTATAAACTCCTCTATTCTCTGATTTATTTTAAATATATACTTTTTGAGCTGAAAAAAACTCCAACATGCATTTCAGAAATTCCCTCCTCTGCGAATATTTTCTGATTCCCCATGCCCCAGGCAAAGCTAGGCTCTTTTGTGTCTGACTGGATTGTACTCATGCTAGGTGCTGTGGACTAAATTATGTTGCACCACCACCAAATTCATGCACTGAAATCGTTGAGAAGATAATGGAGAGAAAGCCTTTAGGAAGTATGTGAGGTGAAGTGAGAGCATGAGGGCAGAGATAGAACTGCGTCCTGATTTGATAGAACTGATGTCCTCGGAAGAAGCATCAGAGACCCTGGAGCTGTCTCTCTACCATGTGAGGACAATGTGAGGGCACAAGAAGACAGCCCTGACCCAACCCAACCGTGCTGCCACCCTGATCTCCAGCTTCTCCGAACTCTGAATTCCATTTCTGCCCTTTCAGATATAGTCTATGGTAATGCAATGACAGCCTGAGCCGAATAATACACCAGATTCTAGTGCCTGGTAGATCCATTTCTCCTGCTAGACTCTACCTTCTTGTGAACACAGGCCCATATCAATATAGCTATCACGTATCATATATCAAGGCCCTATCATATGCCAAATGCTGCACTAGACACTAATAATTATTTCATTTAGTCTGAACAACTTCTTAAGGTTAGATCCATTAGCCTTACCTTACAGATAAATCAATATTTAGAGAAACTCTGATTTTTCTAAATACATTAGTATCTAGTAAGAGCTGACTCCTGCCACAATACTGTTTTCCATCTCATCTGTATTTTCTTGCCTTTTAACAGTTTCCCACATACACCCAGTTTTCAGAGATTGGCTATAACTTCCTGAATCCCTATCTCATAAAGATAAAAGACAATATTTCTCTTTACAATAATGAAATTCCTGAATTCAATGCTCCGGGATGCTTTTATCTCTCACGATCATAAGTTGAAATTTAATCAAAAGCCTCTTCTCCAAATAAGTCCAGTTGTACAATTTACAGAGCTCATCTAATGAAATTGCAGGGCTTGCTGTTCAAAAAGTATTAAGGATTCCAAGATGACACAGCAGAGCATTAAACCAAGCTCAGAAGCCTTGTGGCAGAGGCTACACACCTTACAAGCAGCCCTAGCCCCTAACACTTCCACAAGTCCAATTTCTGGCCATCCCACTTGAAATTGCTTCCCAGGACAGAATCAGGTAGAATGGGGAGTATATCACATACCCCTTTTTTTCCTTTGTTTCTCTGTTCCCTAAAAATGGTCCATGAGCCAGATTAAGGGCCAGCGCTTGAGAGAATTCTCAACAGACAGAATTCCATAGTAAAGTAACAAAAAGTACTTGTGGAATATGGCCAATTAGCAAAGGAAACAGAATACCATACATTCGGGCTTTACTGCCAAAGCAGAAGCACATCAAATGCCACACAAACTTGGTGTCACAAAAAGAGAAGGTAGCATGATCGCAGGCGGTGACATGTTTGCCCTGTTGCCTTATAATGGCATTCATCTTTGAGTACATTCAAGAGTTTTCATCACAATTGCCAACCCTCAGAGGAACCATTCCATATGAAAAGCTCCAGCCTCAGCTGGCTGTTGAGCTCTAAAACCAGAATTGTATGCAGATTGAGCACTTGTGAGAGTGAGGTCCACCAGCTGGGGACCTCACTCGGAGGTCCTAGTCTAGCAGTAGCCATCCTACTCTAGCAGATTCCTACCTCCCAGAAATGTAAGCCCATGTGGTCAAAGCTTCCAGATTTTCAAGCAAATCTAGAAAAGAATATCCTAAATTGTAAATGTCAGCAACTAATTTTAATAACTTGAAAAAGTCTGCTCTAGCCAAATACAAAATTGAGCACTGGAAGTGATTGTATTTAGTGAAGGTCTACGTAACAAAAACCTCATTTGACCATACAGAGTCCTAAGACAGCTACATTTGTGACTAGGGTTCCTAAACAAACCTGTCATTCACAAGAATGCTTGGAATTGGGAAGAACAGAGTCTAAGGAAAATGTTTTCAAATCCACTACTGCAGAGGACAGTTACCAAAGTGGATGGAAACTTAGGAACTATGAGGATGCTCCTGGTATCTAGTGAGTAGAGACCAGGGGTGCTGCCAAATAGTGCAAGAACAGTACCACCACAAGTATTCATCTGACCCCAGTGGTGTTTTGGTTATTTTTCTCTCTCCTTGCTGGGACAAAATACCTAACACCCAAAATTAAGGAAGGAAAGGTTTATTTAGCTTACAGTTAGTGGAGGTTTCAGTCCATACTCAGCTAGCTCAAAGCAGAGTGTTCATGGCAGAGGGTAGCAGTTCATGGCAGAATACAACAAAACAGCAAGAGCGAGACCCAGAGCCCAGGCCTGGCGAGTGAGTGAGACCACCCAGAGTCCACGGATCCTGAATAGACCAGGAGCACAGGCCCAGTGAGTGAGATGACCCGGGGCCACCAGATCCTGAATAGACCCAGAGCACAGGGCGGGCAAGTGAGTGAGACCACCCGAGGCCCACATAGACCCAGAGCCCAGGCCTGGCCAGTGAGTGAGATGGCCTGGGCCTGCAGATCCCAAATCCTGAACAGACCCAGAGCCCAGGCCTGGCGAGTGAGTGAGATGACCTGGGGCCGACAGATCCTGAATAGACCCAGAGCCCAGGCCTGGTGTGTGAGTGAGACTGACTGGGGCCCACGAATTCTCATTTGACCCAGAGTGCAGGCTCAGTGCTGAACCCTTCAGCAGAACTCCCTGCAAAGAGGCTAGAGGCAAGACCCACCCAGCTGAGTCAGGAGCATAACATCTTGCCAGAGTGACACAAAGGGTTCAACATTAATGGCTGAAGCAGAAAGAAGTGGAGCACAGCAGCCAGATTCAAGCAACACCCACCTGGAGGAATCTGAATTTCGTAGATCCGGACCTGGTGCTAAGGCAATAATTCTATCTAAGCTCTACACCAAAGGTCAGCAGACAGTGGTATACAAAATGACAAAGAGAAAGAACAAAATGCAGTCTCAGGCCCCGAGTCCACCTAGTACAATTGCAGAAGACTCTAGCACTGAGGAAACTGGAAACCACACACCAGATATCTCTGAAATAATACCACTGGCAGTAAAGAAACAACTGCAGAAAGGCATAGAAGAAATCAGATCAGAAATAATTTTGGGGGACTCAGGTCAACAATTTCTGACATTGCCAGT